TTTCATTTTAATTTATCATATTATTATTTAACATCACTTAAAAGCAAAAACTGTATAACAATTTATTAATTTTGTAATCTAATCTATTAAGCAAATTTAAATCAAAATTTATCTATATACATTGAAATATACTAATGTTAATAGTTTATAAAATGAATGCAAATATTGCAAATAAATTTATAAATCTGAAATAATGTGATGAATAAGTTCTATCTATTCATCTTTGCAAGCAAAGTTATAGTTGTATAATCAACCAAGTCAAGTATTACCAATTGTTATTTAAAGCTTTAAGAAGTTCTACTAGTCGTGATCCTGCAGTAGTGAATATTTTAAGTTGGCGTGCTGAAACTTTATCACAAAATCCTGGAATATTTATTGAAATCTCATCCAATGTAACTAATTTTTTTTTCTTTTGCTTAATAGGTTGATGAACTAAAAAAGTTTCAGAGTAGTATTTTTAATGTTCAACAATTGTTGTAATATAATTCTTCCAGTTAAAAGTGCATTTATTTGTGTAGTAGATTTCATTTCTTTTGAGTAATTTGTATATTTCATAACAAAATCTTTCATATAACAGTATGCCAATTCGAATTCATACAAAAATCTCAAGAACATTCTTCGATACAATTCTGAATTGTAAAAACTAATTGCAACTTTATGAAGTGATTTGTAGCACATACTCATAAGAGAAGAAAACATTAATGTTTGTTAATTATTTGTGTTAGATGATAATGATGTATTTGTTAAAATATTAGATAGTAATTTAGGAACTTTTTGCAACAAATTAATTTGATCTCAAAAGTTACTATTATCAAATTCTGATAGAATTGATACAGCAGGCTCTTGTTTTCTTGATATAGATTCATACTAAGTGCTCCATTAATCAATGAAGAATCAAATTGCATTATCTTTGAAGTTGAACTCTGTATTATCATTTTTTAATGCTTCTTTATATTATTATAATAGTTTGATTTGCGAACTTGTGCATTATAATCAAAAAATGGTGCTATAACCAGTAGCCCTTTCTCTAATAGGAGAAACTCTTTATACAGTTTTGCAACTTTTAGTTTGTTACCAGTTAGAGTAATATCAGATTTAAATTCTGCAAAAATTAAAAACTATGATTAGTAATATTCAATTTTATAAAATATTTAATTATTTATTTATACATACATTTTTTACTATTTTGTGATTCTTTAAGCTTTCTTTTTTTGTTTATCATTTCTTTTTCTATCTCATTACTTTCATCCACCTCGTCACTTTCTTCTTCTCCTTCTACTTTATCACTTTCATCTTCAACTAACTCCTCTTTATCTTCTTCCTCTATCAATTTAACCTCAATCTCATCACTTTTATCAACTAACTCTTTATTTTCTCTCTCTATCAATTCAACATTTCTATTATTTTCTTCTTTGGACTCTTTTTCTTCAGACTTCTCTTCATCACACTTATTTTTACTTTCCTTTGCCATACTTATTTTATTTTTTCCTTCTTTTGGTTCAAGATTTTCCTCATTATCTTTAAATTTTTTGATAAAAAATATAAATTAAAATATATTAACAAAAGACAATCTTTGCTTTTGTTAAGCATAATAAAATACAAAAATTATATACCTAATTCAAATGAATAATACATTACAATTGCATATTTATTATCCTTATTACTAGAGTTTTCGCTTACAATAAGTATTTTATCAAGGTTATCAGTTATCTCAGTCTCAAAGCCATCTTTCTTATATGGCCTCACCATTTCAAAATAAAATTAGATTTGCTTATTGTTTGCATATGTAATATTTATCTCTTCGTCGAAAAATTAGATCTTCTGGATATATTGTTCTAAATTATATAGAGATATTAAATATAATAATCTCATAATTTCTTGTTCACATGCAAATTCTATAAAAATTTAGATATTACAAAAGATAAATTTTGATTTTGCTCAATTTGATACAGTGACTAAATGTACCTATTTTTAATGTTTTATGAAGAAAAATTTAAAATAAAAAAGAAAACAGGCTGTATTTATATTAAAAAAAAACTAGTATATTATGAGAAAAAATGTTATACATAATATTGTCATTACATTAATTAAGCTTTTCAATAGCTAATATAATGTTTAAACTCAAAGCTTTTTTGATAGCTAATGTAATATTTAAGCTCTTTCAATATACAATATTTAAGTGCTAATATGTATAATGTCTAATGACAATAAGTTAATTAGTTGTTATAATACTAAATATAATACAATTGATAGTTAATATATAATAAAGTATTTTTATTTTAAAAAAAAGTAAAATTTAAAAAAAAAAAATTTACTAGTAAAAACCATAGCATATATCATTGTAATTTGAACATATTGTAATTTTTGTGCTTTCGTCATGCAAAATTTAATATTAAAACCTAATTAATTATCAATAATTTTATTATACATATATCCAGGATTTCTAATAAAGAATCACTAGCCTTTCTATCATCGCCAAACCAAACTGGCTTTCCAGATTGTAATGTTTGAATAATCAAGTATTTCATTATTTCAATCAGAATATTTATATAGCGAATTAGTAAACCACCTTGGATGTTACCAAAAAATTCAATTGTATAAAGACATAAGTACAGATTACGCAGATCATTACAAGAGAGAATGTCTCAGTTGCCTATTTAATAACAATAATATATATAGTAGATAAAAGCTTAGAATAATGGTGATACTTGTGTATTTTAAATAAATATATTTACTAACCAAAGGCCTTTAACCGTACAGTGCTGCATATAGTTCTCTGGGTATTTTACAAAAAACTAGTCTAGATTAAATAATACCCTCCAAATATCGAGAGATAGAAGAATAATACAAATGAGCACTATATACTTTGTTATTAAACATATCAAATCACACTATTATTATGAAAACTGGTCTACAAATCGCTTGTAAAAAAAGGGGATACTATACCAGAGGTACTATATGCAGTGCTATATAGTAAAATAGATTAGTCATAGCAAAAAAAGTCTAGATTATGCACTTCAGACCTCTTTGATATAGCCTGATAAATCAAGATTTATCAGGCTATATTAAAGAGGTCTGAAGCATATATCTGAATATTTTTTGCCATGACTAACCTAATTTTTAATTGGTAATACTATTAAAATTAGATAAAATAAAAACAAATACATACCTCACGTTACTTCTACCAATGACAAAATAATATTCACTATAGTTCCAAACAATCTTATTAATCTTTCTTTCATTAATAGTTAGAGTATAAAAATTCAATAATTTTTTAAGATCTCATAATTTACCCAAATATCTTCAGATATAGTTGCTGAGAAATAACTATTAGACATCTGAATGAAATTTAAAGTTAAATATCCTATACTTAAGTATATATTATATACATAATATATATATAAAAAGTAAAAAAACTGTTTCTTTATAATTGTTAATAGTATCATCTATAGGAGGTGGACTACTAATTATAGTACTATCTAATAAAGAACTATATATAATTTTCTTGTCAATAATTTCATCCTCTACACTATTACTAGTATTAGTCTCTGTGTTATCACTTTTTTTAGAATCCGTAGATCTAGTCTTTGTTTTCTTTAAAAATTGTGGTAATAATTCTTTTTGAATTTTGATAAATTTTTGAAACATCTAATGAGTATAGCATTTACTATACTAGCAGCTGTGACAACTTCTATGTGTTTGCACTTTATTTGTTTAAGGAAATTATTATTGAGTTATTAAGCTTATGTGACCCTTTCTCGCACATAAGTATCGTAATCAACCTTAACCAAGTTACGTCCTTTTTACAACTTAAAGAAATAAGGCTTAAACAGAACTTGACTTATTGTACTATGACAATATTCAAGTATTTCATACTAGTTTTATTTATTTTATATTTAAACATTCGCTAGTATCCTAATAAAATAATTAGTGCAATATTATAGTTACTATACACAAAAAAATTAATAAATATAGTAATAATCACAAAATTACTTTCTAAAAGCATCTCTTTCTTTCATCAGTCTAGCAATAACTCTACATGCAGGTTATATTGGTATAAAATATGTAGCTTAGTTCATGACAAACTTGCTAATATTGTTATTTGCGAAAATATCTAACATAAAATTATTTATTTAAAAATAAATTATTTGAATAATATTTAAAATTAGTGCTATTAAATTAATACCAGGAAGTAAATAATCAAGTTTTAACTATAGCTAATATATAATAGTACAAATATAATTAGTTTACTATAGTGAAAATATGAATATTCTCCTTTGGCAATATTTAAATATATATTTCTTCAATTTTTAATAGTAATCTTAATACGTATGCTCCCCATCATTTATATTACATTAAAATTTATTATTTTATTTATTTGATCATGCTGATTTATTTATTAAATTACGATATATATAGCTAGATAAAAAATTATGCACAAGCGATAATAAACTCTGCATACATAATAATAAAGTTTTCTGATCTAACCGATATATCATATTTGCAAATAGTTCTAACCAATTATATAAAGTTATCTAACAATATTCTATTGTTAAAATTTTTTAAAACTCATAGAAGATCCCCAAAATCCTAGGTTAGAATATATTAGAACCCTGGTCAGATAGGCCAGAATTAATTATCAGATAGGCCAGAATTAATCAATTTTTGCCCAAGATCACTAAAAATTTTAATAATAATACTAGTTATTTATTAAGTAAAAAATGTCTAGCTAATAATTTTACTATAGCTTTACTAACTAGAATAGCTAACCTGACCATAACTATAATATATTTTAGCTATTTTGACCCAAAAATTTAGATATTATTCTTTTATACAGAAGTATCTGCATCAAATGCATCGGTATTATAGTTAGAGTAAGCTATACTGGTTAGCAAAAGCTATAGTAAAATTATCAGCTAGGCACTTTTTACTTAATTAGTAATCTTGGGCAAATTGATTGATTTTGGCCCACCTGACAATAGCAATAGTTTCAACTTGAAATTTTGAGGCATGAGTTTATAGTTAAATATAGAAAAGATTAAGTTAATCTATACTTGTTTCAACAAGTTTTATATTTTATTAAAAAAAAAATTCATGTATATACAATAACGAATTATTAATAATATATAATCTAGATTAGTCTAGTTACTATGGCATACAAATATGCAAATATTGTGGTGACTATTAATTTTAACTAAGATAATCAATATTTACTATATAGAATAAAGTACATGCTTTATAAAGGAAAGATATTTTATAAAATCGAATCTTGACTTTTCTAAACTTAAATATATAATTTTAATTATATAGCTAATATTCAAATATAAATAAACAAATTTTTATATTATTGTTATAATTATATAGTTTAATACAATTGGTTATGTATACGCTTGTTATATTAATATTGTTACAGATAAAAATAAATATAACTATAAGATCTGATAAAGTATAATCAATAATGATACTCCAACAAATAAAAAAAAACTAGATGGCCCATGCCTATATCCAAATTAAAAAATAAAATCTTACAATACCTTAAACCTGTTATAACTTTTATTTAGCATACTGCTAACTCATAACATTTTATATATTTTGTATTTGAAAATTTGATCTTAATCTACCACATAGTCTAAATTTTGCCTAGATCAATAACTTTAAATATTACTATTTATTCATTTATAAAACAATCGCATTGTTATATAATTCATAGAACAACACTATTTAAATAAACTACCTTCTTTCACAACTTGAACTTGGGCTTATATTCTTACACTAAGCTAAATTGATACTGCGAAATTGAAGACTCTCCCCAATTGCAACAGTGTGTGAGTGAGAATACGATGATGCAATAATTAATGTGTTTTCATTATATACACCAGCAAGAAATAAAATTTGTAGATTTTCTAGCCATTCTTCTAAACATGCATGTTTTAAATACAAAAAACTTTTTAAAACTCATGATACTTCAGATCAATCAAATATTGATAATTATATTTTACGAACTATTGAAGAATATAAAATAATAGCTGAGAAATAGAAATATTCTTTATCTAGTGAGCATAAACAGTTGTTTGATCAATATGGTATTTAATGGTCAAGCTTTCTTCAATTATTATATTTTGATCCAATAAAATTTTTTGTATTTGATTCAATGCATAATATTTTTCTTGGAACAGCTTATAAAATGATGAAAATTTGGACAATAGAAACTAATTTAATTTCAAAAAATCAACTTATTAATATTCAAAATATTGTTAATAATAGTCTACCACCTGCTAATATTAGAAGAATTCTACATAAAATATCATCTAGTTTTTCAGAATTTACATCTGATCAGTAGAAAACATGGACTTTAATATATTCAACAATAGCTTTAAGAAATATTTTACCAATTCAAGATCAAAAAGTATAGTCATATTTTGTAAATACAGTATTAATTATGTTACAACAAATAATCACAACTGAAGAAATTAACCATAGACATAGTTTATTTATAAATTTTTAAAAGAATTTTAAAAACTATATAGTTCTAATATAATAACACCTAATATACATTATCATTTACATTTAAAAGATAATATGTTAAATTATAGTTCTTGGTATAGTTATTGGTACTATGCTTATGAAAGGTTAAATGGACAAATTGCAAGTTTTTATACTTCTAGAAGAACTGTTGAATTGGATATGCTTAATTATATAAATCAATAAATTAAAATTTATAGACTTTTAGATCAAATAAAACCAATATTAACATCAACTACACAAACTTCTTTAGATTATTTACAAAATAAACAATTAGAAAAAAAAATATTAGCAATATATAATTATACAATTCCAAAAATAATAGAATTTCAATATTTTATTACTAATATTAATTATTTTGTTACTGGATCTGAAGATTATCCTGGAAGATTAATTAAACCTTTTTCTAAAGCATATTTATCAAATGAAAATTTAAAATTATTAGTTGATTATTATACTGAAATATATTCAAATGATAATCTTAAATTTTATGCTGAAGGACAAGTATCTAATGTTTCAAATTCATATTTAGTTTCAAAAAGAATTATAAAAGCTAGTGCTTTAGAATTATGTGGTGAATATTTTGGATCTGAACTTACACGTTCTGATTTAGGTGCATATTTTTTAGCATTATTTAAAGATAAAAATGAACAAGCAATTCATTGGCCAGGAAAAATTAATTATTTTTTACAATATACTATGCTTCTTCTAGCTAAGTATAATAAAAATAATACAAATAATAATAAAAAACTTGTTCCTATTAGTCATACTCTTTGTTTTGTAGATTGGTTTAACCAATCAACAATATCACACAAAAATTATTTTTCATTACTTAATGATTTAGATTTAAAAGATAAACTTCCACTTGCTGAAATTTGGGAAACAAAATTTCAAACTAGATCTTATAAAAACTTTTTTCCAGTTCAAAAAATATTATGTAAATTTGTTAGAAGAAACTATAAATTAAATAATCAATCTAAATTAGTTATTTTATCTTTAAATAATAAATTAGCTTTTTAATTAAAAACAAAATATATATAGAATATTTTTTATATAATTTTTACAGCAAATATTTTTATAAATAAACTTTTTAAACTTTAATAACTTTTTAAATTATAAATATTTTATATTATATATATATTGGCTAGATGCTAAAAAAAGCAAAATAAAAT